CTCCCCCCCCCCCCTCCCCCTTCAAACTCTGGAATGCTACACAAATCACCTCCATTTAATACTTACTCTTTTTGATGTGTTACTTTATTGCAGCAAAACTCCTTGGTTATTAAGTACCTATTTTATAACTCATGTCGTGTGCTGTACACGTTTCTGTTTTGGACTTGGCCACAAAAACTTATAAGAAGGTTAACAGTTTTCCAGTCTTTCTTAATTATTTCACAGGATGCTAAGGTCATCAGGCCATGAGACAGTGTGATAGGTGACCACGCAACTCCTGATATGAACAGGACTTTTATATTGTATTTCAAACGTGGGGTGTATGTCCAATATTCCTATTTTAGTAAAAATATATCACCACGTAACTAAACTTCTGTTTTTAGAAGTTCTTAACTTTTACCACAAATTTCATTCTGTATACAGGCCATAAAGTCTAATGGCTGACACACAATGTAATATTAAGGAATGGACAAAGACTCTTCCCCACATACAGAACTCTCATCAGTAAAGTTGTTTTATACCGATTTATCTTAGCACTCTACTTTTCAACCTGCTGAAATGAATGTAAGCAAGTCAGGACACATTTTGTGGACTGCATCTCAATGAAAATATGAGAATCTGTATGGATGTATACCTTAAAAAGATGTCTCAAGACAAGCACTTTGTAAGTGCAGAGAAGGCTTGGAGAAATACTTTAAAACTGCAGACTAGTCTGAAGCAGGCCACAAACAATAACCTGGTTCTCTTTAGTGGCACTTCTTGTGGATATGTTTAAAAAATTATTCTTTCTTAACAATTCAATATTTCTAAACAGAAACCATAAAACTTACAATAATCATCACAAGCAGCTCCTTCAACAAGTACAAACACAGCAATAAACACACAATCTAACTGTCAAGACATGCTTCCCCTCAAAAGATATTTAGCAATTCACAAACACATACTTTTTTTTCTCCCCACTGCTAAAATAATAAACTACAAACAGCATCAAAAGCAGTATACAAAGAGAGAGTTCCTCTGTTAGTGGCAACTCAGGCCAAGAAAGTACAATATGTACTGTTGTAAAATTGTAATTCCAACAGCATAGTTATTATAACGGAAAATGTGATCACAACATATTAGACAACTACGTAAATTTTTGCACTAAAATCTCAAGCAGAATTATGTATTTTCAACAAATAAAATACCAGCAACAAAGAATGTACATATAATCTGTTTTTCATTTTGTCATTGTCATTCTGTCTTGTGTGTCATTCCCAAGTACTTGAATTTTATCACATTTTTAAACAGTCATTAGCCGTCATATTCTAATTCTGTCCTGAATTCTAATGCCAAGACATTATCATGTACTTGTCTTTTCTGCATTTATTTCTAGACCAACATTCCTACTATTCTTTAAGAGTGTTTGTGTTCACTTTTATAGTATTTACATTATCACCCAACATAGACCAAACTGCCCTGATTTTCTTGGACTTTCCTAATCGCATAATCTGAGGTAAAATTGAAAACAGTGGTGACAGAGAATCTCCATTGCAGGCCACTCTGAATAGGAAATGTATCTGACAAATGTTTACCTACATAAATTTTTTGCTACAGATTTCATTTAAACACATTTTAATTACCTTGACCAGGTTCTTATGTGCACCAAATTCAAGCAAAATGTTGTATAGAGCTTCGCTTTTAACTGAGTCATAGGCTTTCTCAAAGTCTATAAATAGTTGATGTCCCATTATACCAACATCTTTTCTCTAGTATCTCACAAATGTAGAACACCTGAAAGTTGTAGATCCATTGTGACAGAACCCACACAGATCCCCAATAATTTCACTGACATATAACTTACTTAGGAATTCTATGGAATATAAGAAAGATAGATGGATGGATGTGTGTTTATGTAATGGCAACAATTACACTTGTTCTTGTGGACATTTCCCCATTGAGCTTCAACCTTCCACTGCATTAACCAAAGGACTACATTGGTGATAAAAGCAATGTGGCCTATGATAAAACCAGATTTACAAATTTTAGATGATTTGGTAACAACCCAATTGCTTGCTGGAAATTACAACCGTCACTCAACGGCACAATGGACCAGTTGCCAATGCCAGACAACATTAATATTTTCCTGTTAAATGAACTCTCTTCATGTATGACAACAGATATTCCAAGTATGCTTCTATAGAATTCAATTTTAAATGCCTCCCATGCTTCATTCTGTTAGGGTTCAATCTGTTTAAGAGACTTCTTTCTTCATCTGCATGCCATTAGAAATAGACTATGCCAAAGCCGATGAAGGTAAAAAACAGAATAGAATTTGTATTAAGCCAGGGCCAAAGAATAGTATCATACTGAATCGCATTAGTTTCTGCGTAAGTGACAATTTTATTATAGAAATGCAAAATGTAAGAAATTTACTTTAATATTCATGTTTCCAACTCTTCTATCTGTAAACTACAGTTGAAAAGAATTCAAAGACTATGTTCTCAAATGTCAACTACTCAGTTCTCAAACAAACTGAACCCTAATTTTCATGCTACGAGACTTACCTTGCAGCTGCCCAACACTACCAGTTACACCGCGATGAGCCATCTCACGAGCCCTCTGACGCAGCCTTTCTGCCCGTGTGGACCGGGGAGGTGGAACAGGGTATCCCTGTCCACTCCCAGTCAACTGGGACATGCTGCACGAGGCGTTTGACCTGCGAAGCTGAGACCCACGCTGAGCGTGTCTACTACCTGCCAGGTGACTCATGCTGCAAGACATGCTCTTGGCAGTGGTGGGAGAGGATCCCAATGTGGCTGGGCCAGAAGTCTTTTCATGCAACGCGGCCAGCTCTGCGGCCGGACGTTGGCGGGGCCGGGAAAGCTGGTCGAGGCGGGACATGGAGTAAGCCCTACCTGGGGATCTGCTAAATGGACGATTTCCCTGCAGATGGACAGAAGAGGGTCTGGAACTAGAGGTGGGAGTCAAGTCCCGGGGAGAAGGGATTGTGGGCATCAGGTCTGTCTTCCTCCTGTTGACACGATGCTGTGTTGCCAAAACGACTGCAGCGCCACGTGCATTCACGTCTCCATCTTCACCTGATCAAATGAGCAGAAATTAAAATATTACTCATCTTTCTGGTATATATTCTAGGTTCATTTTGTACTGCAACTCTATTTTCTGAGCAACTTTATTCAAATACATGAGATACCTAGTTTCTCACTTTCATATGAAACTTTGTACTCAAAGAAATAATAAAAGCACATCTACATCACTGTCATACAAATGGACTACAGATAAAACTTATAAACACATCTGTTACTAAATGTAATGACCATGCAGCATAAACATAAATCAAGACAGGATTTATGCACAACATAAATGTCAGCAGTAAGTAGGTAGCAAAATAATGTTCTCAACATCATGTCCAAAGAAAGATTGAGGTTAAGCAACACACTATTCTTCTGCTTAAAGGCAGATTTCAATGTGAAGCAACACACAAGCAACAGCAGTAAGTCTGGCCATCAATATCTGATCATGCTACATTTGTTCGTCTGCACACAACACAGAGAAAAGCTGATGACCGAAAATATACCAAGAAGAAGTAAATGCAAGGGACTCACTCGCATGTTAAGTGGATGGACATCACTAATAATTTACAGGGAATCAGTTTACTATTGGTTAATTTGAGTCAATAACAAGAACAAGGTATGGACGACTGCTACCATACAAAATGTAGTTTCCAACCATGCAGAGAGGTTTTCAGCATACTGGCTGCCTATGAGAAACTAGAACAGCATCGATGGGGACTCCAAGTGTCACTCACCACCAGGCAAGCCCCCAAATCCGGGCAAAATACTGGAAATGTGAACAGATCGGTTCGAGGGCGTGTGAGGGGCACTCGAAAAGCTACGGGCACACCCATCTAGGTTCAAATTCAACTCAGAAGCAATCTCAGATGCAGTGATCTGAGGGTCAGGTTTAGCTGGGGTTGTCTTTGGCTCAGAGCCAGGGGCACAGGAAAGGCTTTTAGCCCTTTGAATGGGTTTACTGGCAGGCTCAGGAGTTGAATTCCAGTGGAAAACTTCGTACATAGAAGAAGACATTTTCATATCTGTAAATAAAATGGGGAATATGTCCCTGCATTAATTACAACAGACTTACTCAAGAGTCAATACAATCTCCTACTTAATAAATTTTCCCTGATGTTTAATGGGCAACTAATACTTTCAAATCCTTTCCTTAGTGAAAATGACATTCACGCCACGGCTAAATTAAAATGCTGCATATAAAGAAAAACAACAAAAGATTTGCTTCTGGCAAGAGCTGTAAAAATCCAAAACAACATACAAACTTCATTGTTTTCTGAGATAAAAATACTTAAGAAATGCAATTCTTATCTACTGAAATAGCATACACACATACAATTACATAAATTCTAAATATAACTTGGGCATATACAGCTGAATGAACAAACAGTACTATCTCCAAAATGAAATACAGCACAAGTACTGTTTCTGATATTTTCACAAGCAATATGAATTTCAACTGTTTCACTGTACACCTAAATTGCAAAAGATAAGGATTTTCAGAAATATCAAAATTAAACTACAAGATGTTTAATTTGTTTCATAGCTGTATACAAACTTTACAAAGAACAACAACTAAGTTATAGTCAAATAACATAGCAAAGTAATAAATTACACCATCTTGAATAATACGTTTGTTAAGTGCCTAAGAATTATAGTCACATCAGTCACAGATGAGTGCAACTAGTTCTCAGTGTTCCGAAGAAAAATAATTTCTTCTTCAGAACCATAATGTGATGTCTGTTCATTGATTCAAACTCAACTGTTATTGACACTAACAGACTGACTTCTGTTAAACCATGTATTGGAAGCTAACAAACACATCACAGTACCTCCAAACTTTCTGTTATTGTAAGTAGAACACCAAACATACAAGGTACGTAAGTACCAGGTGACCATAAATAGGTGGACAATTTGAAGGGTGTGTAATTATTAATTTTTCACACATACTCATGTACTACAAAACTGTCACACAACATACAAATTTTTTTCATGTGGTCACAGAAGAACATACATAAGTTTTCATATGTGATAAAACAAATAATTACATGCCATTCAAAATTTATGGGCATCCAGAACGCCATACAAGTATGATTACAAATGTCTTGACTGAATTCCTTCTGTCATTAAGATATTTGTTCTGACCCCTTCGAAGTAGTTCCCTTATATAAAGTGAAGCTTTCGCAGCAACTGAAGCCGATGAAAGACTCTCAGGTTACAAGCTGTGTCAGTTGGCTGAATGGTGAATAAACCACATATTCTGCCAACATGTCGAGAACAATCTGCTCTCATCCTCAGGGCTGCTGTATAACAAATCTGATCCTTTGTAGCACGCTACAAAGGATGAGAGCAGAGATTGTTCTCGACATGTTGGCAGAATATGTGGTTTATTCACCATTCAGCCAACTGACACAGCTTGTAATCCGAGAGTCTTTCAGCAAGTTCAGCAATTCTAACTCTACCATCATTTGAACTCGGCTAATGTAGACTGCAATTCTACTGTAGTCATGATGGACAGCTCAGACAAAGTAGAATGCACAAGAGCAACCAGTGAGCAGCACATCTTCCAAAAAAAAAAAACCCAAAGAACATTTATTGCACCTCATATTAAACTGGCCAAACACTGTCAAGCATTCTTGCTTGCTTTTTATTTGGGATGGGCTGCGTTCAAATCTCAGCCCAGAGACTTTCTATCCTGACATAGGTTATCCACAATTTTCCTCAGTTCCCCCAGAAAAATAGTAGGACACATCTTACATTAGGCCATGAGCACTTCCTTCCACACCTTTTTAAATTCATTTTAAACAGGACAACATGAATACCACTGAAGGCAGTGTTTTGACATTTTAAACTATGGCAGTTCTTTGGAAGGAACTGCTATTAATACTTCTTCATTCTAAAAAGACATAGGTGGACAAACAGTAGTGACATAATACCACTTCAGGGAGTCAGAGGCAGAGGAGCTTATTATAGTCAACTGCAGGCATGTAGGCCATAAGAACATGTACCCAAGCATGTGCACAGTCCCAAATATACACAGTGTTTCAAAAGTAGCTTTACAACTTCGCAGGAGAATATAAATTTATTTAAAGAACATGAGCAATATTTTTAAATGCAAAAATTTAGCCAAACACATCAAGTTTCATGCACACAAACTGTAGTATCGAAAACCGCCACATGTTTCTGAAGACGCCGTGGAACAGATTAGGCAGAGCTTCGCTCGAAGTCCACAAAAGTCAACGAGACGTTCATCTCGGAAAACTGGGATTCCACATGTGACTGTGTGGCAAGTGTTGCGAAGACATTTACACTTAAGAGCGTACAGATTATCCATGGTGCAAGCCATTTCACATGGTGATAAACTGGCTCGTAAGGAATTTTGTACAGAAATGTTGCAGCGGGTTGAAGACGAAGGATTTCTGGACTCAGTAATTTTCAGTGACGAAAACACATCCCATGTCACTGGTAAGGTCAACACCCACAACTGCAGGATCTGGGGTAGTGAAAATCCACGTGCCTTCCTGGAACATGTTCGTGACAGTCAAAAAGTTAAAGTGTTTTGCGCCCTCAGCAAAGATAAAGTGTACGGCCCCTTCTTTTTCATGGAGAAGACCATTACCGGCATTGTGTATCTGGACATGCTCCAACAGTTCCTCATTCCTCAACTTGACGAAGATGACCAGGAAGGACACATTCACTTCCAGCAGCACGGTGCACCCCCTCATTACCTCGGAGAAGTGCGCGAGTACCTCAACAACCGTTTCCCAGGTCGGTGGATTGGTCGGGCCGCGCCAATAGCACGGCCACCTCGTTCCCCGGATTTAACACCTTTAGATTTTTTCTTGTGGGGATTTGTTAAAGATTGAGTGTATGTGCCACCCTTACCTGCAAATGTGGCCAAACTCCCAACTCGAATTACAGCCGCAGTTGCTGAAGTGACACCGGAGATGCTACACCGTGTGTGGCAAGATATTGACTACAGATGGGACGTCTGCCGCATAACAAATGGAAGTCACTTTGAACCATAAAATTCCAATGGACATAAAACTTGAAGTGTTTGACTACATTTCTATGTTCTGAAATTATATGTTTCTCCTATCAGTTCACCAATATCTCGCCCTCAAGTTGTAAAGCTACTTTTGAAACACGCTTTATAGTTTAAGGTCAGCATGTGTGTTTGTTCACCTGCCTTCAGTCTTTAAATCATTCAACCCTTTTCAGATGACTTTGAAGTTCCCACCAGAATTGATGTGTCACACTTCATAAAGTGAAGTCTAGTAACTAAATACCAGAACTCCAAAGACTATGCTGACAGTGGTAGTATTTTAAGTGACCCATGGAGAATAAACTGCTTCTTGAGAACCAGGTATTTGCTTCACTGGTCAAGAAATTTGTCACATTCAACAAAATCTGAATGTTAACTACTCCATTTATAAGAGTCTGATAATGGTCCAGCCCCTGACTCAATTAAATCAGTCCACACCCTTAAGAGATCAGTCTGAATATTATACAGTAGACTCCCGATTATCAGGATTAGTTGAGAAATATATTTTCCTGGATAAACCAAACCCTGGATAATCCACAAAAATAAAATGAAAACATATATGCAAGACATACACTACTTAAACATTCAAAAATATTCTAACAGCAAAAACATAGATAAGATAAAGATAGCTGCCTTCTGGACTGTTACACAGTGTAGTATGGTAGAAGTTTATCGATATTGAGGGTAGCAAGCACCTCTGAAATGTCGGTAAACTTCTACCTGACTACATGGCACGACAATCCAGAACACAGTAACCTTCATACTTGCCACCACGAGAACCTGAAATCTCACGAGATAAAATGAACTTAACAATTTCCTTCATGTTAGGTTTAAGATGTATATGATGACCGTTGTTCCGTCTATGTGTTGTCTACCATTAGTAGTATTCAAATGAATTACTAAACCAACGTGCAATTTACTTCCTGCATAATGAAATGTGAACTGAAACATTAAACATATAACATTGTGTCTCTTATTACTAACCTTCACCAGGTTTGCAGTCAAGACCACTGGCTGAAGTGGCTCTCTTCTTACTACCGTCGAGATCCCGTTCTGATGAACGACGAGTCAAGGGCGCTGCTGTGAACATCATTACATTTGTTGTAGATGTTGCTCTGAAATAAGAAATTCTAGGTCACAATGTCTTCAAGGATACACTTTATTCTCATTTCATTTAACAAAATTTTGCCAAATGCACAAGTTATAAAGTGCTGAATTCACATTTAATTTATTTAATGACATTCTATTAACTGTAATGGTAAGTACACCACTCCTCTGTAGGTTTTGCTGGCAAAAATTGGAACCTAATAAGGAGTAACCATCTAATGTAAGGTGTATAAAATCCTATTCTACCAAACAATGTTCACTTAGACACAATATATGGGGATTTCTAACTGGTACTGCAAAAATCTAGTGTTATTAATTATTATTACTGTATTCCTGATACTGTATTATTATTATTACTCACCGGTATTGGTCAGGAAGCCTTAGGGGAAGAGACCTCTGGGAACACCCAGACGTAGATGGGAGGATAATCTCGGGCAGGATCAATTGGGGATAGGAGTTGAAGGAGACTGGATTTTGTTGGCCCAGGACAGGGTCCGGTGGAGGGCTTTGGTTAATTCAGTGATGAATCTTCGGGTTTGGTAAGCTATCTAGTTAATTAGTATTATTACTTTACTTTACTCTAAAATAAACCGCAGTGCAGTACATACATATAACTACTGTTTTTTGTAACTTAGTTTTGCCATTTACATGCTAATGTGTTTATACCTTGACCTAATACAGACAGCCCCCCCCCCCCCCCCCCCACATATAGTCCAGAGGATCAATGTTTGGCTGTATTAATGAAAAACAGGCAGTGAAAAATGAAACAAGAAATTACAGTATAGCAATTTAAAATTATATACTAATCTTAGTAAGTGTTAGCAAGTTACAACAATTTAACAAGCAAGTTATTTTTTAACTGAACACACTAAAAGATTTCAACTCCTTTTCTTCAAGTTTTTAAAATTGTGTTGTAAAGAAGTATTTTAACCAAATATAAAACTATGGAAAAAGACACCAATGATGGCCTGATAGAGGCTAGAATATGTTTTTCAAAGGAACAGGACAACCAATGTGGTTCAAAGTTAAGAAAAAGTTACGTGCATTTGAAAGAACAAAGTATAAAGGCCTTTTAATATAAAAATTAGTTGCACATGCTTCTGATAAGCCTTACTCTAGAAAAATAAATACAAATGTACAAATGTTGGGTTGATGACTTTAGTTTCATATAATCTAAAAACTTGTCCCATTTACATTTTTATTTCACCAAACACCTGTAAAACTAATACAGTATCCAAGACCTTAGACCAGTTTTCCCCAAACCCTTAGATTAAAGAGCACTTTAGGCTTAAAATATTTACAAAGAAACTCGCAAACTACTAATTAATATGTTTCCTTTAACACAAAAAAAACCCTACTCCTTTAATCTGAATTCGGTTATTTACCAGGGGACATCTCATTCGTTAGTGGCCAATTTGTGTCATTTCTCTTGCTAATCTCTACTTTGACCGTTCCACAATTTTTCTCCCATCCACTCATTCATGGCTGCCAAATCATGGAAACAAAGCCAGTCATACAAGTGTAACAATGAAGAATACCCAGATAAAATACACAAATTAATATGAGCATAAAAATTAGGAAATGCAAGAAACAGACAAACCAAGTATCACATGTCTAGTCGAGCTCTCTCTTTCTTCTTCCTCTTTTTTTTTAACATACCTCCTAGTTCCCCAGAAGGAACCACCAGTATCAGCGGGTTCCAGCATTCTTGGAGTCGAACTTCCAAATGCAAATACTATTGAACTACGCTCATTCCTTCGTTTCGAATCAATCCGAGCTTCTCGTTCCTAGACAATAAAAGGTTCTTCATTGAAAGCAACCATTCGGAAATTACAACAAATAAAATAACATTTAATTGTATTTAAGTTTATGGAAGGTGTACACACCAAAAGCATAACACGAAAGAACCACTTGGAGATAAGCTGTTTTTATATTGGCATGCATGCCACTACTTGAAGAAACAGTATAAAAACTTTAACAAGTTGTTATGTAAGTAAAGTGTTCTGTTTATATTGGTTTCATGTCACTTATCTTCAGAATTGCTTGTGTGTGTGTTTTGTGTTTCTATTATACCAACAAAACTGAGTTTAAAAGTGCAACAAGTTATAATAGGAAGAAACAAACATCACTTGCTCTATCTGATGCTTTGCTTGCAGCTTTTAAAACATGTGACTGGCATGAACCGAAGAAGAAAGACCTTTTCCTTCTTTGGACTACATCGTAGGGAGATTTGAGATATTCACGGCAATGAGGATGGAGACATTGTTCTTCCAGGTTATGTGGTACAGAATTGCAATATTCTGGAGGAACATACTGCCCCTAACTTCAGGGCTCTAGTGGCAATGTTGGGAAGTGGGGAGATTTACACAGGGTTAGAGAAAAAGAAGGCTGAGGGAGTGGGCCAATCACAGACAAGGAATGAGGTGGTAAGGTCTCAGACAATAGGAAGTCTTCAAACAGATGACAGAGAAGGTGGGTACTGGGTAGAGAGCTAGGGAGGGAAGGAATCGGCCCTTTTAGGGTCCAACGAAAATGGGTCATGTTCTTGGTGCCCTGAAGATGGAGACAGCACGCTTCTCTGAAATGTCAGCATCTGCCCAAGATTCTACACAATGGCAAAACCCTTAAGATCATCATGGTCCAACACTACATTCAGATTTTCCAAAAAAGTAAACATAAAATGAGTAAGCAGGTAAGCAGAATAACAAAAATTAAATCCGTGGCGTAACAGCTCCAGAGAGCCAAAGCCGACTAGCTTGACTGCTGGCCTCACGTTCACATGCCTAAGCAGAGGTGAACGATCATCCAACCAGAAATAGGGCGACGTGTGGTCAGCACGACGAACCCCCAGCCATTGCTAGTTTTCCTGACCGGATTACGCTACTCATTGTAGCTCCCCAATTTCCTCACGATGCTGGGTTGGCACCGGTCCCATACACTGGTCAAAAGCTCATGAGAAAATTTCTTCTCCCCCGAGACTCGAACCAGCGCACATTCCGTATCGCCGGTCCGATGCATGATACCTCAGACCGCGCGGCTACGGCGCGGGACAAGCAGAATAACAATTCAATACAATTCAAGTAGGATTTGAGGTTTTCACGGTGGTGAGTAAGAAGATGGCAGTCTTCTAAGTTGTAGTGCTGTGTAGTCTGGTAGAAGTTTACTATCATTTCAAAGATCCTTGCTGCCTCCTTAATCAGGGTGGATGGAGGCAGCAAGGATCTCCGAATCTACCAGACTACAACCCAGAAGACAGCCATCACTGTAAAATCTGAATGGTTCACGGAATAACAGCATTACATTGTCATATTTTGCTCTCCTTAAGATGATTATGGCCATTACAGCTTCAGCTAGCACCAGTACAAGAATGTTTGCATGCTTTTGTCGATAATATATGATGGCAGCACTGTGAGCTAATGGAGGTGAAAATATATTCACAATCATTCAGAACTATTAACACGATCTTTTCAAAAAATATTTTTCTATTCCAAAAACACTGATGGATGGTGGGAGATATCAAAGGCTCTCAGCATTTAAAATGGCTATATATGAAAATACTTATTCACCTTACAGGCACATTAATATAAAGAGATAAATATGATGGTTTTACTTTCATATTAACCAACTTAAAACACTTCTTTGTATGTAAATCAGCAACAGGAATATAAGGTCCAAACCTACAACTGGCAAGAACAGTATGAATGAGCTGTAGGTCTCTGGGCTGTACTGAAAGCACCTAGCAACTATGCCTGTGAGTGCTTAGTCATTAAAACTTCAGTGAGATTAGTTTATAGTCAAATTACCTTAACCTCCAGAAATGTTGCAGCATTTGACACATACCTGATTCTTTCTCAGAATTGCCTCTCTACGATCTCTTTCTGCCTCCCATATCTGGCGTTTTCTTTCCTCTACCTGATGGCGCTTGTCATTGTCTCGTTGTCGTAGTTCATCTATGCGCCGTCTTCGTTCCTCTTCTTTCTGTTCGCGGAACTTCTGAGCAGCTAATGCCTGTTGCTTCAGTTCCTCCAACTTCCTCTGTCTCTCCTCATTCTGTCGATCACGGAGTGCTCGGATTCTCTCTTCGCGCTCCTTTTGTGACAGGTTTGAACCCTCTTTACCTGTAATGAGTCATAATAAAATTTAATTACACTATTCCATAGGGACTGGATCACCCTGTTCCTGTGGTTTGACTGAACAACTGCTAAAACAAACTACACATATTATGTAATAGTAGTAGATACAAGACACATTGCATGCCAACTAGTAAAACCTTGAGCAGTGCTGTGCTGTGGCAGCATGCTCATGAGATGCTGACAGCTCAGTCAATAATATGTCCTATCTCTGCTCTATACCCTTCGTAATGGTACTACATGTCTCCGACTGGTCAGTCAGAGATGTGGTGCCTGTTTCTTTATGCCTGAGTTTCATGGTCTCTTGCTTGCTGGTGGCCAGATGACGTGGGTGCAAAACTGTTTTGATGAATGTTTAGTGGATGACGTGGGTGCAAAACTGTTTTGATGTGGGTGTAAAACTGTTTTGATGAGTGTTTAGTGAAAATGCTTTTGAGAGTTGCAAAATTACATTCTGACTGTGGTTCTTGGCAGCTGAAGGGAAGAGTCCCTGTTTCAAACAGGGTTATTTGTTCTCAGATTATTTTTTTTACTTCTTGAATGTACATAAGAGACCTAAGCTAAACATATCTATATGTGAGCGCATTCTTCACGGAGCACTTGAACGTAGGTACAGCTTACTACTGTGACTTGCTATCAGTGGGGGTAGTAACAACTGACAAGGTTTCTGTGTTGTTTTGGAGGTCAGTGAGTATGTGCTGGTATAAAGTAAAATTAGGCTGTTGTAGACCTGAACTAATTGCATTTACATTGGCCTGCAAGCTACGGTGCTGTGTTGTTCAAACCATGGGCTACATGTCTTTCAGGTAGAAGTGTTGAACTGTACCACTGTCATACTGGACTGACTGAGTGAGTGAGTGACTGAGTGTGTGCGCGTGTGCGCACGTGCATGAGTAAAGGGTGCGTGGTGTGTGGCAATGGGCATGTTAAGTGACATAACCATTAAGTGGTCATGTGCATGCATATGTTGTAAGCCCAACTGATGTAATTACACTGCTGCTAAAGGCAAATAAGTAACAGTGAAAATTAAAAGTAATTTTTACTATAAGTTTTTTATTATTTATTTATACTGGGCTTACCTCTCCTGGGGGCTAGCGTGGAGTGAAAATAGGCACTTTCAGGAAAAGATGACCCTTATGCACTTTTTCAAAATATTTTGCTTGTGTGTGCTGTTTAATTTGCGTTTCCATTGGTGTTTTGGGTCCAACACCACTTACACAAATCAAGCCTCATCAAAAAGGAAATTCAGTTGTGGATAAATTTCAACATCACAAAAACATGGATGCACCAAATTACAAAAATTCACTCTGTTAACAAGATTGTGTGGGTGCAATTCATGCACTTCTGTTGTCTTACATGACTTCAGTTTCATGTTTTGTGACAGTTCATGTCTATGATTTTGAAACCTCAGGTTTCCAGTGAAGCCTTCTGAAGGAATTCCAAGGAGTTCACGTCTAGCACCAGTTTCACCCTACCTCCCCCACCCCCCTCATAACAAACCTATCTGCCTTACTTATTTACAGTTCTATGAATAATTTCTAAATGTGAAAGTCTGGCATGATGACATTTGCGCCAGAAATTTCTTGTTGTTCTTGCAGAAAAACATATTCACATAGGCAAGTATACGAACACATGTGGTATCTCACACATGGCATTGTGACACAAGCAACAGCACAAGAATGACAGCTCACCATACTAAAACCAGGCGGCTGGGTACAAAAATTATTATTCTATTATTACGAATACTCCGTCATTCATATGTATCATCACAATGTTCTCTAATATGGAATCAATCATTACATACACAATACACAAAATACAAACCCTATAATGTTAAGATAAAACATGCTAACTGCAGTACCATAGAGTTAGTTATCACATTATATGCATTGACAGCTTGACTGCTGTTTGAAATAAATATGGCTACACGACAGCAAATTACAACTTCATTGAAGAGTGCTGTCCTATGGGTTGTAGTACCATCTGGTAGAAGTTTACCAAGGTTTCAGAGGCGCTACTGCCATGCAAACCTCAAATCCGCCAACTTCATTGCTGGAGAAGGCCTTGATATTAGAGTATCTTAAACAAAGTATTAAAACGTAAACATTTCCAAAACTTATATCTCTAGTAAATTCACAAGACTGCTGTTTGGAAAATCAACTCAATCATTCAATACTCCAGACAACATACAATTAAGAACAGAACTAAATACAAATCTGTATTTTAATTTAGGTAATGAGGAGACAGACATCAGAGTTTAGCCGCTTTATGGATTTATTTGAGTTTATAAAACTGCATATGGAATATTTATCTCTGTAACATTCAAAGGACCTAAGATCCAGACTCCATACACAAAGTCTGTTAGAAATACAGATGGTTAGCACTTTCTCCAGTGACACTTCAATGAATCACCAACAAACTCCATCTTGCATTAAAACAATAGACTGCCAAACAACACAGTAATAAAGCACAAATAATTGAGTATTAGTAACTAGCAGTTTGAACCAATATTTACAAATCCTACTATCATCACTTGTGTATAGCACACAGCACACCAGGGCCGTGGAGTCGGAAGCAATTTTAGGTGGAGTCGGAGTCAGTAAAAATGTACCGACTCCGACTTCGATATAAAATCTTAAGAACAACTTCTATTAGGGAGATTCAACGACGCGTTGAGCCACATGGTGTGGGAATAATGCCTTGTAACTTTGGCTCCGGTACCTTAAGAATACAAAGTATCTACAAATCAACAGATTTCTGCAATAAGCATTAGACGTATATTTAAATATAGGTTATAAGTCTAAAAAGTAGCCTGATGATTCACGCGGTGGTGATGAAATCTCTTATGGTACCATTTTAGTAGGTTTACCATTATTAATACATATTGAGCTTTTATGAAGGAGTCGGGGGTATTAGTACCGACTCCACAGCCCTGCAGCACACAGCGTTATCTTCAAAAAAATACCACGTACAAACACAATTTAAAGCATTGAAAACATAAAAGAATTACCTAAAAATCTACTTTAAGACCACCTGAATACAAGAATAAATCAAGAATAATTCTTTTGTTTATCTCACCTACCTCAATCATCAATAAAGTCTAAAGGTAAAACCCCATCGTAAGTTATGCCATCATCAGACTTTGTACCATGGTCTGGCGATTAAACAATATGATCTTAGACTCCCATGAATAGCCATTTGTCACGCAATCCTAAAACAATTCCCTTGAATTCTTATTCAGTTTTACATCAACTTAATGAAAAAGCAAAACAGGGCGTTACTTGTGATGCACACCTACGTGAGGTGCTTCTTAAAAGCTTCCATATTCCATTCATGACAGCACTACAGCATGGATTTATGCTGCTAGGTGGTGATGGTTACATAATCAACAGTGTCTTGTCTGTTATGATTTATAAAATGGCAGATTTAAGAGACAAGCTGCCATCAAGTTCTGGCACTGAACATTATAAAATGTTTAGAACAGCAGATGGAAAAGAAGCAATGAACACAACACAAATTTCAGAGCGTTAAAATTCCAGAACAAACTAAAATTCTGCTGGAGTAACAGAACCTTCTGGATGTCCATCCATCTACCACATGGATAAAAATCCTTAAGACAGGCTTTTCAACATCGACTATTTGGAAGAACTGGAAGGCCTCCTTATCGTAAAACCTGACCACTCAACACACTACTACCAAATTAGACAGATGACGAAAATCAAAATGGTTGAATTCTGTGCTTTGAACTTGAAAAAGATGAGGAGAGTCAACCCCAAAGTGAAACGTTAACTGAAGTGAAGACTTAATTATGCCTTGCAGATGTAGCATCACAACAGTAGGTGGAATGCAGATAAAGTATAGAGATTCTAGAAATGCTTCCAACATTACAATCACTACATAAGTCCAAAACGTACACCTGTTTTGAATCGGATGTCATGGAAAACTCAATTTATTACAGTCCTGTCCTGAATCTTTCAATTTGTGACCATTTGCTCTGAGGTACATTACATGTCACTCCTAATTTAATCCAGTTCTTCAGAATAATTTTACCAACACCGGTGAAAATACTGAAGTTATTAGTCTTGAACAACAATCTGAACATCATGTTTTGATGTCAGATGAGAAGATCTTCCACGTAACCTGCTAAAGTATTAAATTATTGTCACTCGAATTTTCAACAGCCACTCTGCGATTAAAGCAAGTAAAACATAAAAAAAGATTTGAGGTTTTCACAACGGTGAGTATGAAGATTTCTGTCTCTCAGGTTGTTGCGCCGTGTAGTCTGGTTGATGCTAACCAACGTTTCAGAAATCATACTGCCTCCGTCATCAGGGCGATGAATATTCAACACCCTGATGACCAGACTACACAGCGCAACAAACCAGAAGACAAAAATCTTCATAAAAAAAGAATTATACAACATACTACCTACATGCTATGAGTACATACGCATGCTTTACAGACAGAAAAAAGCTACACACTTCACATACTACCTACATGCTATGAGTACATTGGCATGCTTTACAGACAGGAAAAAGCTATACACTTAAATTATGCTAGATAAAATCAAATCATATCAAATCAAATGAGTTGAGTCTACTGGAGCACATCCGTCTGAATGTGTTCACTGTCATTAGAGCTGCAGAAACAATTCATGCATGACACTACACCCACATTTCAACACATCATTCAACTCATACCACTACTGCAATGCCACTGTCTCGCCATGCCTTTTACCTTCGCTAACTGTTTCATTCTGAAGTGAATCTGCTTCATTTCCGATGTATGCAAACCAGTGAAGTGTACCAGAATGCCCTAGACAAAGGACAACATTCTTTCATGTCAGAAACAACTTTTACACAACTAATGCTTCCAACAATGCAGTGACATATCAAGGGAACACATACAAAAATTTGGCACCATCATTCCAATAAAGTATCATGCTTTCGATTTAAACAATAAAATGGGAACAACATCTGCTACAAAACAAAAGTACTTAAATATAACAGGTACATGAACATAATCAAAACAGTTGTGGAACACATATTAATGTCCATGGTTACTCCCTTAAAGCAGATGTTTAAGGAAGTGTCTTTGCTTTTGAAAACGTAATAAATAAGCTACAGATTCCACGACTCAAATCTCTACTACACCAAGACTAATTCTAATAAGACTTAAAAAGAAACAAACATTATACAAAAATATGAATACCACAAATACTGCTACCAAGCAATGTAAGTAATTATTATGATTTGTAACGTACTCATCTGAATAAATATATGAACACAAGATAAGTATCCCTAAACATTGTGAATTCAGACGACTGGCTTCTGGGATGTTGCATCATGCAATCTTGTTCTCAGTGACGGATGAATTTCTCCTTCCTATGTGCACAAATATTACTGTTTTTTTATAAAGGTAATCAAATGAATGCACATGACGTTTCACCCATTTTGTCTGTAGGATTAAATGACACATTTTGACAAAGCTTGATATCAGAGTAAAAATGCTTCAAACAGAATTTACGGAAATGATAAAGATTCTCTAAATTTTAGAAACGTCATCTGAAATGGTTCCTTACACATTAATGTAAGTTTTAAGTATTTTGATCTCTTTCAAGACAGAAGAGAAGATATTACTGACTATCAGAGATCAGGCTGCCAAACAACTGCAAGAAATGGTCCATATGTGGCAGGAGTAAACTTAAATGGTGCGTAATGACTGACAACTAACTGTTCGCAAAACAGAAAATGCACTGAACAGTAAGAGAGAAACTGTGAAGTTGATTCTGATCAAAGTTTTTAACATGAAAGTCTGTGGCAGAATTTTACTGAACAGTGAGCAAAAAATGGGAAAAGCTTCCTCGGAAGACTCGGCAAGGCTCTCGACACAACCCAGCCTTCTGGAAAAAATAATTAAACAATGACAAAACATGGGATTATGCAAACAAACCAGTCACCCTGACTTAAAAAAAGTAAAATACAAAACACATTCTGTTTTATACCAAATAAATACGAATTACAAATACGTTCCTCAAAGAGCCAACCAAGCCTTTCACCACATTCTGTTTTATACCAAATAAATACAAATTACAAATACGATCCTCAAAGAGCCAACCAAGCCTTTCATTAATGAGATATGGACCATTTCAAGCAGCAAATTAATCAAAAGAAAACAAAATTTTTGACTGCATAATCAATTATAGTCTGCATCACTACAATGTTCCTTTTAACACATGACTGCATAATCAATTATAGTCTGCATTACACTACAATGTTCCTTTTAACACACTTTCTATAAAACAATATATGGGCAAAAAATAAATAAATACCAGTACTAGAATATCCACCTTATTTGCCTGATTGGGTAACAGGTAAATTATTCTTAATACTGAAACTGAGATCTCAATGAGGTCATTCTGACTTACATTCACCAAAAAGTTTGCGGTAATGTTGCCAGGCATGCTAAATATGTTGAGGAACGTATAAAAACCGAAGGTGACAAAACACACAATGATGATACTAAAGAAAAAATTTAAAGACTCGCTCTAGTTTGTAATTGGAAGACATAATAGTCCAAGCAGAAGTTAATCATCAGTAAATTAAATATACGTAACATCTGGGGCTTTGGAACACAACAGCTAGGCCCCCACTGCGCACATACTATTTCCACGTGTCAATATTGTAAAGAATTTCTCGGAAACTAAACAGTGTTTTAAATTTATCATTTTTAAACAATAATTTTTATACTGGTAAAATTAATTAAAATCATAATTATTCACAAACTTCTGCCTTCCAGAAAATACAGACATGGAAAACACCGTGTAGATAACCGATGAGATGGCTGTCTTCTGGGTTGTTGTGCCATGTAGTCTGGTAGAAGTTTACCAACGTTTCACAGGTCTTTGCTGTCTCCATCATCAGGGCGCAACAACCCAGAAGACAGCCATCTTCTATCCATCTGCATATGAAATAGGCCTTACTCAAAATGAAACGTCAAGACTTCAATCACTCATCCACATGCACAACAAAATTTCCTTACGATGTACAACAACCATACGTATAGTAAAACAACATGTCAGCATAATACGACATATAATTAAATATAAACTTAAAATATTTTTATTTAAAAGTAAGAGCTGTGAAGTAACAGGCATTATTTCTACTATCTATATTATTCAGCGGAGAACTGAGTTATAACATTCGGAAATTACAACATTCTAATTCAGAGATAAACATTAAAATTATAATACAGACGCAAGCAGCAACACAGGTAAGCCCCAGTTGGTTCCTGTCAAAAATAATACATCTCCTACAATAAAAACACATTTTCTATTCTCTTAATGTATAGAAATTAATACACTCCAAGAGCAATTACAAACAGACAGGCTGCGGAAAGAAAGTGCCCACAATTATATCAAACCAAATGTAACATCCAATAAAATTGGAGACAAAAAACAAGTGACTGATGATGGATTTCTTTAAATTCACTAATCTAGCACAGGTTAGAAAGAAAATGGTGTTTGGAAATTAAGAAGTAAGAACGACCAATGCTGATTACAGACCAAAACAACACTCCTTCAGAACAAAAGTGTCATGTGGAATGACAAATGCACAATGCCAGGTGAACAACGAAGAAACCTTACGATTAAACTGTTCAATAAATTATGTATCACATAGATGTTCTCTGGTGATTCAATATGATTTTTATGGTGGTTAAAAAAGAAAACAGAAATTTTATGTCACCTACAGTTTCTTAGTGGCACACGAATTTTGATTATTTATGTCTTAGAATATAATACAAAGGAAAGAGGTCTGTTGCTCATCCTCTGCTTGGTAAGGTTATGTACATCGCTGCTTGCATATACATTACTAGTGCATTGCTTGGTAAGGTTATGTACATCGCTGCGTGCATATACATTACTAGGGCAGGTCCACATTTGCATAATTTTGTCACACAACTTACATTTTGACTTCGTGTATCAGCTAAAAGCAAAAACACTGCAATGGATACTAAAATGACACCACGATTAGCTACCCAGTTTCTGATCTTCGTTCACGAAGTTTACACGACTCGAGCAGTCCACTTCACCGCCGACCAAGAAACCTCCATGTACTACGCAGATCACAGGCGTGCCATAATTCTTAACCTAACCTAACCTTACCAATTAACACATCCTGCCTGGATTTTGACTATAACGTGTTTGCGGTACCAGTTTATGAAACACAGTTTCAAGGTAAACATGGCAGAGTCGCCCCATGCTTTTTCGGCATCGCACCATGAAGACAAATGAGTGAAGATATTCTACGTCTTACAATGCAGAAAAAACCGTCTGGGTGCTCCCTCAGAGCCAGTCCGGAAGCGGTGACGAAGAAAAAATCTCTGCACCTACCGGGAATCGAACCTCGGTCGTCCAGTTGGTAGCTAGAAGCTATGCTCACTGACCTTCCCCAATTCCTCCTGCCAATATTCCACTGAAGAAAAAGCGGGTTTATGAGTCTGATGATCATTTCTGTGTGCATCGTTCACCTAGCAGACCATTCCGAAAACGTACGTGTATTTATTTATATCCAGCTGAAATTACAGCCTAAAACCCGAAACAGATGTGATTATATCATAATTCCTACACTGCAGTAAGACAAGAAAAGTCTCACGATTCGATCGGTGCCCTTTCTCACACAACTGTAAACAGTCTAATAATGCGATCGTAACGTGCCTAGTTACCGAGTCACACAGACCGACACCAGGAGACAGGCACAGCCGCCCCACATTGCATGAAATGGAACCGCCACACCACCTAGCGACCCAAACGACCAAAACGCATGCAATTAAGGAGAAATCGAAGTTACTTTAAGCTAGCCTCTCTGACAGAAATACCAACGTTCAAACAAAAACATTTTATATTTAACCGTTAAAAAATCGATAAGAAACATTTCAGCCCGTTTTCATTTCTAACTTGCAATTCAACTTTTGTGACAGTCAGAAATAAACTGACAAACTTAACCCAGCTTCAGGCGGAAAATTCTCACAACCTCTGCATAACACATCTTTAAATCCGCATGACTGTTAAGGCAGTCTCATGTCATCAGATTGTACTACTTTTTATGGGGACTAGACCTTCTAAAATCGACAACTTCGCTAGTGGACTTCCTCTGTGGCACACTCCTTGATATTATAATCTTCTGTGTTATAATCTGCTGTTTGTCACCATGCCCTCTCCCTATTATTTACGTGCATTTGCAAAACGTTCCCCTAGGACATGAACGCATAGCGTAACTTCGAGAAGGATCGTCCTCCTTTCGCAGAAGTTTGAGCATCCATTACGTTCGTATCAGGGCCTACTAATTATAGGAAATGAAAGATAACGAATATCCTGAAATGACATCACGTCCATACCAAATTTCATCACAATCTGTCAACCCATTCTAGAGCTATTACATGCTTAAGTACAATGGCGTCAACAGTCGTTGCAGAGGACCGTAGATAATGACGCCATTGCGGAGGATCATTTTCTCCGGTACTCGTTTCAGCATCCGTCATGTTGGTACTGCCGACAGCAGAATACTAAAAATTACTACTTTGGCGCATCTTCCAAATGGCGTATCGTCCATATCTAACGTCATCAATAGCCGACCAGTCATCGTCGAGTTATTAATGAGCGGGACAATGACGACATCACGAAGAATGACGTCATTCGACGGAAAGGTTCACTGATAACAGGTTTATCGCGAGTGATCATTTTCCCGCTCCACGACTTTGAGTATCCGTCACGTTGGTATTATCGATTGTATGAATAGTTCTCGCGTTTGTGCGTGACAGAACGTGAAGCTCGTAAGGCCAAAGCACGAAGCACAACACAAAACTCTTCTGGAATATCCAATAAAGATTTGAGCCCAGTACCTTCAGAATACGAAGCACAGTGTCAACAACCACTCAGCCACTACGTTCGGCAGCAGGTTTCAACGTATGAAATTACACAAGCTTTCTGTCATTGTACTGTTTCGCCATACATCATCATCACCACCACCACCTCCTATCAAGGATTGGGACCTTGGCCCGTTCCGCATGGCTGCCTAAGGCAACTTGTCCTATTAGTCTTTTTAGTGCCTCAGAGTAGCAGTTGGCAAGCCTGCTGCCTCCGCACAATTTCTACTCATTTCTGATCTGTCTGCTAGAGCTCTCTAGTAGCGAAACAGAAGAGACATGGGTGAGAACAACACGAATTTGAAATGTTACGCGCAATGAAGAGACACAGGTTTGTGTGCAGATCTGAGCCTAAACATGTCAATCTCTTGATAATTTGTAGATGACAACCTCTGTAACTCACAGTGCTCTAGTTTAGACGAAAATAATCTTCGCGTGTTTTAAATGACGTTAGTAATACGCAAACCTAGCAGTCACTCTTCCTTCACCTATGAAATGCAGTGCTGTGAGTATCTGCAGACGCTACGTGTTGATAATTTATAGCATTTCTTGTGTAAAGATCAGCGCAGACTGCGAAACTGCAGGCCTTTAACGTCATAGGCCTAGTAGTCTCATGCCATCGTTTTTAAGGTTTCAGTAGACACTTTAGCCCATATGGATGCTAACGGAGAATTCGACAGCGGCAGGTAAATATGTATAAGCCCAGACTGTTGTCTAGAGCAGCGTTTATCAACCTATCGCACGCGTACCACTAGTGGTACGCGAACCAAGTAAGAAAATCAAAAATATAATATCAACATAAATAAATTTTCCCTGCACACATTTGGTTAGTGGTACATTTAACGTGTTAAATTAGAAACAGTGGTACGCCAACGAAAAGGTGTGAGAACCCCTAGTCTAGAAATTAGAAATAGTGGTACGCCACCGAAAAAGTGCGAGAACCCCTAGTCTAGGGGCAACTTCGTGTATTACCTGGAATTTAACACACCGGAATATCTGTCTTTCAGTTAATGTCTAGATTTTATAGAAATAATTGTATACATTTTTAACAAATCATTTAACCTGGTGTGACAAAACCTTCAAAAAAATTTTCGTCCCATGATCTTTGAGAACTTACGCCCCTTTAGATCGGCACCAGCGAATTTGTAACAGCAATTCGGAGAAGACGGGTTTTCCGGTTAGCGCAGTAATTCTTCATAAATCCATGACTGGTTTGTGTTAATTCCGTCATCACGTATAAATTCCTTTTACAGTCCAAATGTGTGCAGCTCAATGTTCTCATAAAACTAATTCCTGTACTTTTCATCACAGCCCAAGCATCACTGTGTTAAGCCGGCATTTTTTTTTAGCCAACGTGGCGTAGAAAGCTTGGTTTACCGCCTCGCTGTAATTTAGAATCCCTTCAGTTAACATGTACACTAAATACGTTACAGAAAAGGCAGTTACTTTAGTGTTTTCGCCAGATATTTCCACGTCAAAACCACGAGCTGTGTTTCGTACGTTGTTTGCGTCACAAATATTCCCCTGAACTTTCCAGATGAACTAGGTCATCTACACGTCTATGTATTTTCTCACGGTGGTGAAGATGGCAACGTTGTTCTGAGTTCTGAGGCCGTATAGATACTTGTACAGTCCACGACTGTAATCTTGAGACTTGCAAGGAACGCAGTAAGTCCGTAGCGTTAAAGGCAGACGCTGTATTTCCTCCTTCCCCCTTCACCCCACTTCCTCACCCCGCAAGTCTCAAGATTACAGTCGTGGACTGTAAGTACACGTCTCTATAAAATGAAACACTGGGATGTACCTACAAATCTAACCGGCGTCAAAATACAGAAAACATACCCAGTAAGGAACATAGTTTTAATTTGATGTTTACAGTCAAGCTGTTGTGAGATGGCAGCCGCCATTATCTGGTCATGTCATTCATGTACAATCTAAATAACTCAGAGGGTGCAACTGACGAACATGATGGATCACATTGAACTGCAATGTCAAAGACCCATGTGTGGAGAAATTATTTATTCGTAAAATGTTTCCACTCTACGCACTACTCATCAGGGCTGAAATAACTCAAAAATATCTGTACATTTTCAGAGTGTATATAAATTATCTTTAAGAATTTACTAGTGAATAAAACCTTTATGAAAAGACACTGTTTTGAGCGTCATCTGTGAGAGAAACTCTCAAAGTTTGTTCTAAACATTACACGCATTCAACACGGGCACCATTTGTCACACGCACAATGACCATACGACACCAACGCCAACTGTTGCAATAGTAACAACTATCTGTCCTTCAAGTCGCAGAGTTCGGTACACACAGTCTTTTATGAATCCCCATAGGAAGTCACAGCGTGCGATGTCCGGTGATCTGGCCGGCCAAGATATGGACCAATACGGCTAATCCAACGGTTTGGGTATTGCTGATTAAAAGATGCACGTACAATCAAGCTCCAATGTTGTGGTGCGCCATCTTGCTGGAATAATACGGCAGGCTGCAGTTCTTGTAACTGTGGACAGACTAAGTTTTCTAGGATATCCAGGTAGCTGTTGGATGTCAGAAGCTTCGGCAAAGAAAAAGGGTCCAATCAAACGACCAAACAACAGGCCAAACCACACATCAACTTTGGGACTGTCTCTAGAATGATCCAATGTACCATGAGGATGTTCTCATCTCCAAAAACGTAATTTCTGTTTGTTTACCTTCCCCGAAACGTGGAATGTAGCCTCGTAAGAGAAGAAGAGTATCCTCAGGAATCCATTGGCTTCCTGCCTCTCAAGCATGGATAGCTACTGGAAATTCCTTCTGGGCTACGGGCTACCCTATCTGCCTACACCACTTGCATCTTGCAAGCATATAGACGCAAACGTTTTCCTAACATCCGATGCACTGTCGATTGCTGCAGATCGTGTCGACATACGCGGACTGCGGACAAAATCTTGCGTATCCTTTCGACATTTTCAAACACACGTGAACGCCAAGACCCTTTCTCGTGCAAATAACAACCGGATTCCTTTAAA